GTCCAGATCCAGGTCACATTATTCAGGTTGAAGAAGTAGAGCTGAGACCTGATTTGTCATATGAAGAGGAGCCCATTCAGATCTTGGAGAGAGATGAACGAGTTCTTCGGAATAGACGGATTCCAATGGTCAAAGTTCAGTGGAGGAATCGAGGCCCCTCAGAAGCTACTTGGGAGACATTGGAGTCAATGGAGGCTCAGTTTCCTCAACTATTCTCATAAGATAAATTTCGAGGACGAAATTTCTTGTAGAGGGGGAGAATTGTAACAACCCGATTTTCAAAATAATATTTAATTAAAATTTGAGGGTTTAATTGTGAAAATTTGGGACTGAATTGAAAGATTTTAAAACTTGGAGCTTGTTTTAAAGTTAAAGAAAATTCAGGGACCAAGCCCTGAATTTAACCATGGAGTGTCGGCAGACAATTGATATATGCGTGATTTCTGTTTTGAAAAACAGAAATCAATTTCACAAATCCTTCCTCACGCACACAACTTCCAAACTCGATTCCGACGCCGTCCGAATTCCGATCGTTGTTTTGAAACCACCGTTGTGTTCATCATCGAGCGAGGAGAAAAACCTTCAAATTAATTGAAGCGAAACGCGGCCAAACGTCGGGAATTTCCAGTCAAAGTAGCGACGGTTTTGTTAGCTCTATCGCCGAGAAAATCTTAAATTCACCGCTGATCGTTGCTCTGTTTACGACACCTCCCGCACCATCGTGTTCCTTGTGCCGTTCCGAGTTCACCGGTGTCAATCTTGTCCGCCGTAGACGGCGGCGCGTGAGGAGGTAGTGCAGTCAAAGATTCGGCCGATTTGAAATCGAGCTCTCCGCCGTTCAAAAATTTGAACCGATCGTTGTAAGTATCTTGAAATCGCTCAAAATAATTTTTAGAAATTTTTCCGAGATTTTTAGGGCCTCGAAGGACGCCTCACGCGCCACACGCGCCGCCGCGAGTGGCTGCTGGAAACCGGTTTGACCGGTTTTCAACCGGTTCTGACCGGTTTGACCGGTTTCAACCGGTTCGAACCGGTTTGACCGGTCTGAATCGGTTTGACCGGTCTGACCCGACCCGACCGTTGACCCGACCGTTGACCGTTGACCGTTGACTTTCTTTGACCAAAACTTAAAATGGCTTTGACCGAGCATTAAACGACCGTAAATCTTTTCCGAGTATACCTATCCTGATAGTTTTCGACGTGCCAATCCATTTCCGCAGTCCGTTTTGGCAAATTCAACCCGAAGGTCTCCAAATCGACGGTCAAAGTGGTTGACTTTGACAATAATCTGAATTTTAAAAGTCATACTTATGTTTTTCGACATCCTGATTGATTCCGCAATCCGTTTGGCCAAATTCAGACTCGAATACCCCAAAATGATAGTCAAACCCGAAAAATGCTTATACTTAAGAATTCTAGCTCGTAAGACTCGTAAATTTTATGATTTTAGAGATTTATTTATGTTACCCATAAGTAATATAGTGTTATAAATTAGGTTCGAAAACTGTAGCAGAGCGTGGTGCCCAAAATGATAGTCAAACCCGAAAAATGCTTATATACTTAAGAATTCTAGCTTTGAACAATTAAGTAAGATTTGGGGCTGATAAATTATTGTTATTTGAAGGTGCACGAGACTCACCGGATCGTTCAACAGCTCGACCCACTCTTCTAGATCAGTTAAACCACGTATACCAGTATTCACTCGTAAGACTCGTAAATTTTATGATTTTAGAGATTTATTTATGTTACCCATAAGTAATATAGTGTTACTATAATTAGGTTCGAAAACTGTAGCAGAGCGTGGTGAAACCAGCAATCAGTAGATCTACGATTTGAACCTATTATCAAGGTGTGTTCCCTATTTATTATTGTTTTATTTGTTTTAATATGTGGTACACTGAATTCTTTGGTTACCGTATTGTTGATGCACCGATTTAATGTGATTATGGATTATGACTTATATGATATTTGTTTTGAAATGATATAGAATTACCATGTTTATGGTTTTATGGAATTTATAACACGGTGCAATTGAATTTTTGGAATATGAATTTATAAAGTACAGCTCTGATCAGCTGGAAAATTTTACGGACCTAATGTGACTCTTAGGTAGGCTCTGCGGCCCTGAGATCATTCTCGGTAGGCCCTGCGGCCCTAAGATGTTCTTAGGTAGGCCCCACGGCCCAAAATCTATCTTGGTAGGCTCTCAGGCCTAAGATGTTCCCTTAGGGTAACGTTTTTTTTAAAGAGATTTACTGCAGTATAATTTTATGAAACTTTTTGGACTATGATATGTTTAGTGTACCTATAGTATGGTAATATTGGGACACACTGAGCCTAGCTCACTTTTCGAAAATGTTTTCCCCTTTCAGATACTGTTGGTTAGATACCCTGGATTGAGCACTTGGAGGATCAACATATCTATTGAAGTATATCTGATTGTAATGTTTTTACCTTGCAAGTTGACTTTATTTTGTTGACATTGACCTTATTTAAAAGTATGAGATTTTAATATGATGACATTTTTACTATTACTATTCGGTTTATCGTGATTTGATTTTTAAGATATGTTTTAAATTAATTGATTACTTATTGGTATTATATTTACAAGTTAGGTTTTGATAGTATGATTTATTATAATTTCATGTCATTTATAATGTGATTTTACATTGTTTGAATAACGATTTCGGAAAAATGTCTTAATGAATCATAATGTGATCCACTAGACTTAGTCGAAACGCATAGGCCGGGTCTAGGGGTTACACCCAACCACAATAAAAAGAGCAAAAAATGCCAAGTTTCACTCTTTATATCAAAAACCCAGAAATAAAGGCTCAACCTTTTTGTCAATTTCCCATGAAACAATCACCAGAATGAAGAAAACAGGCTGAAACGAAAACTGGGGATTCAACAGGAGCCTGTAGAAACAACTTCAACAGAGCTCAAAAGGGTGTGTTCAATTTTTTTAAAAAAAATAAGGCTTCCATTTCTCTTACAGGAAAATTTGACAATGGTGCTCCTAAGTTTAAAAAGTGTTTAAAAATTTTGAGTTGATGAAAATATCCCACATAGGACTTTCTTCTAGCTTTGTCCTGAGCTGCTTATCAAGTTCAATTGAGGGAGTTTTGAGAGGCCTTGATGATTTTTTTCCCGGACAAAAAAGAAAAGAAAAGAAAAGGCAAACACATGTGGAAAAGGGTACGGAATTTATAAAATAGAAAATTAAATTTATGAAGATTAAGGTAAAAAATCAAGTGGTCTTATTGTTGATCGAAACAAGACCCTTGTACTACCTTCTTACAATTGAGTGATCGATATAAAATGGCCACGTGTTTGATTCTTCTTGTATATTTGAATTCAAATAATTATTTGATGATTTAGTTCATAAAAAATAGAAAATTGGCAATTTGTAATAAATTTGTACAAAAGTGTGAGTTTGTACAAACGGAAGAAATCAGATTCAAATCTGGAATGGATCTCCTTGAAGAACGAGCAACCAATAATCGCATTTTAAGGAGACAAATGCATGTGATAAAAGAATTAAAACATTTTATTGTTTTATAAATTTAAAAAATGGGCACAAATAGATCTTAAACAAATATTTTATTGTTTTATAAAAATTAAAATATGTAATACAATCGATTGTTAAATGTCGTACATAAAACAAATATAAAATGCATATGATGAATGATAGTAGTATTGTATAATACTAAATACAAGGAAAAAAGGGTCCAAATAGACCTCAAACTAATAAGAAAGAAACATATTAATTAAATACATTGAAAATACACACGTGTATATAAATATAATTACAAAACAATAACTAAATACTGGTGTGGTCAAGCGCTGAGGATGAGGACTAGTAATTTGTGATGATATGATTAATTGAAGACATCGTACGTGCCGATGTGGTTGTGATCTCTGTTGGTGTTGGCAATGATAACAATGATCATTGGTAAAGTACAGGTTTTTTTAAACTGTTCTTTTTCCCATATATATATATATATAAGGTAAGGGGAGGTAAGATAATAGGCTACTCCCAACACTAGGTTGAGAGCAACTTCCGTAAGAGACCTCCGAATTATGAAATGTCCTCCGTGGAACTCGATCCCACGACTTCAAGGTTAAGAACCTTGTGCTCTACCAACTGAGCTGGATGGTCATTTAGGTACATTTTTTTTAAAAAACTATTATCTAAATTATTATTTTGATTCCATTTAGGTACATTTTTTTTTAAAATTATTCATAATGTTTCACTTTGATATCTCAATGTTAAAAACTTAATATAACTACATCGTGATAACATGACATTACCTTATGGTGACATGTCAACATTCCTGTTAAGTTTCTAACGACAGGATACCAAAATAAAACATAAACTAAACATTAGATATGGTTTAAAAAAAATAAAGTTTAAGTATCAAAACGGAATAAAAGTAATATTTATATACTAAACATGTAGTTTACCCTTGATCCATTTAGACTTTGGGTTCTATTTTTTTGTTTGGGTTTTGAAATATTTAGATTGGGGCTGCTGGATTTAGGTAATATCGATATTGAGATGTAATTTGGTTTTCGGTAATACGAGTAACCCAGTGTTTGGTTCCTAGGAAAGTACGAGAAAAACTGTTTATTTAATGTGGACGCGTGACGAGGATGTGAAGGGGTGGCAAAGACAGGATTTTTTTAAAGCTTTCAACAAAGTCAGAGACATGGAGACTAGAAAGGATATAGAGATTCTTGAAAGAGAAAGAACATTCCAGACCAAGTGGCAAAACCAAAGGCTTCGATTGCATGTCTGCAGGTTTTCAAGATTAAATGAATGGGTAAAGTACACAAATAGTTCCTTAGTATAGGATATTACTTTATTAAATTTTTTAAATAATAAAAAATTATAAAATAATTTTTTGACTATAAGATATTACTTTATTGAATTATTCTATTATAGGACAGCAGTTCCAGACAGACAGAAACAAACATACCAAAACAACGAACAAACTTCATTTGTCTTCATTTTGCCTTTGGAAACAAAAGTTTAGAGGCAGTATCTGAAATATTTGTTTCGGATTACAGGCTATGCTCTTGTTTTCCACTGTTGGTGGTGCTACCAGGACACCCTTCTTGGCTTCCTTGAGAATGACCTCCAACAGCTTTTTATATGTCGAAATCGCTGACTCGAGCATATCAATGGCTCGGCTCCGGTCCTTTGCGGCCACCCGCAGCACATCTTCTAACTCCAAAGTGTCCTTCAATGGCCTGCTCTGCTCCACCCTGTTTATTTCATCACCGAAATTGTCAACTTTTTTACCAACATTCAAGTCTTGCTCCATACCATTAGCTACCACCATTTCACTAATGCTTCCTATATGGCTTCCAAGTCCCATAATGGCCTCGCCTGTTTCGGTTTTCCATATATAAACCATCCCGTCTTCAGAAGCCGATATCAGATTCTTCGTTTCACTCGCAATCACTAAAGATACAATCCCACTCTCATGTTTTTGTGCCCATCTGGTGCACTCATGGCCTTGATTCACATGAAATTTGCTTCCGACATTTATTAACCCCTTGTAGATGAATCCATCAGAGCCTGCAGCAAAGAATTCTGCCCTCATTTGATCTAATGCTATCCCCATAATTGGACAAGGGAATGCCACTGTTATCAACTTTGTTCCATCCAACAATCCCCAGAATTTAACCGTGCAATCCAAGGAGCATGATATTATGGTAGAGTTGCACTGCGCCAAACTAGAGTCTATTGCAGTGACCGAGCCATCATGCGCAACAAATCTCTGCAACATCAAACTGGTGGAGCTCGTATCAAGCGATGCCTCGACGATTTGAAAGATCCGAACGTAAGAAACAGTGACATCATCGCCGCCGGATATCAAAAGTGACCCGTCTTCACTTTGTTTGAGGCAAGCAACAGGCTTGTTATGTGCAGAGTATGATGCGAATATATTCCCTGAAGGAACAGAAATAAAATAAAAACGACCCGAAAGTCCACCGGCAAATAAATACAAGCCATCAGGGGTAGCTGACAAGGACGCAACGGGTTCAGGAACAAGGAGATTATGCAAAACGGATGAAGACCACCAGTTGTAGAGATGAATAGAGGCTGAAGTAGTCTCTGGGGAAATATGAGAAGCAGCAATGAATGAGTTGCCAACGAGGGCAAGGCCACGGCGAGGTGATCTGCTGCCGGAGAAGTGATGGAAGGAGACACCGGAGACGGCATCGAAGGCGGTAATGGGACCATCAGGGGAGCTGGTGAGGACAATCGATGCGAAGAAGATGATGACATGTTTGCTTGAAATATGGAGTGTGGGCGTTGAAAACAAGGTGGTTTTAAATCATCACATTTGGTAAGTTGTAAAACGCTTTGACCGTATGTAATGGGTAAGTTGCAAACTGAATTACAAATGTTTTTATTTTACTAATTTTTATTATTATTTGTCTAATTAACGTTGAATAAAAAATATATAATATTATGTCTTCATTCTCTTCAAATCATACAAGTAGAGGATTGAATTCTTAGAAACAAAGTAAACGGCTTTAATTTCAAAAGTCTGAGGTTTACAAGGACTGAGAAAAAATTAAACAATTATTTTTCTGTGCCCGAGTGGGTTCGGCTTTTACTTTTTTCAAGCCAGATAACGAAGAGGCTTTTTTGTTTGGCCTGCTTACAAGGGAGGAAAATTGAACGGAAAACGAAAGGAAAATAAAGACCATCTTATCTAATTTGTGCAAAGAGTGAATCAGTGGGAAAGAGTCCAACGAAAAATGGCACTCCTCTGTGCTTCAACTTCAACTATCTTCTCTTCTTCTTCATCATCAGATAGACCTTCATTTGCTTCGTTGAAAAGAACTATCCCTAGTAACCAAAGCTCATTTCTTGGGTTCTTCCCTATAGTAGCATTGTCCAAACCTTCTTCTGCTCGGACAACAACGTTGTCTTTGTCTAAACGGGATTTCCAGGTTTGTTGTCAGGAACTCTCTCTTGTCCCTGAAAATCAACGTTGGATGTTCGAGGAATCCGAGGCTGATAGCCCTGTAATCTTTCTGTGTCTCTGCTTTTTTCCATTTATTTGCCTTTCTTTTCTTCTTTCTTAAAGCTCCTTTTGTTTCTGGGTTTTGAATGGATTCTCCTGTTAATGTAATTATGACCATTGAACTGATTATTTTCCTGGTTCATTTGGTGAGAATTGTTTTTTTCTTCTTCTTTGGCTTAATTTTTTTTTTTCATTTTTAACCTTGCAATTGGGATTGTTATTGTTTTGAACTTCAAACTTTTGAACAGGATATAGTAAAACTTTATGTTTTTTGTAAAATTGGGTATATTTTCTTTTAATAAATAGTCATGCTCTGATTATGTGACATGATTTCCCTTTACATTGTGTCTTTTCTTTTTTTCCTTTTTCAAAATTATTAATGTGAGATTGCAGTCAATTTCTGTAACATTTTTCTCAATGATCTGCTTCTCACTGTGTTCTTTGAAGATGTTTCAACTTTTCTCCCTTCTTGCTTACTTAACTTGAACCATGTTTTTTTTTGTTTTCGGGACATTTGGAACAACACATGGTACCCCAAAGCTAAAGACCACGTTAATACTGAGAAATCATGGTATGTTGTTGATGCAACTGACAAAATTCTGGGAAGACTGGCATCAATAATTGCTGTGCATATCCGTGGAAAGAATTTGCCGACTTACACTCCTAGTGTCGATATGGGTGCTTTTGTGATATTGGTATGTGGTTTATGTGCTTTTGTGTAACATGTAGGAGTTTTGTTTATGAACATTGTTGTTCGCAATTAGTGAGATTCTGGAAAAAGGTTTAACCATATAGAAAATGTTGCTTGCTTTTTACTGTTACAGTGCAAGTCTATGTACAAGTTAATTGATTTGATTGAAACATGATAAAAGTTATTTCCACTCCATGACCTCTCGTTACTTCTTCGGTTGTGAAATGTTGACCTTGCTAAATATGTTCGGTTTTTATATTCTATGTTTCGGTAATGATAAAGTAAACTAGATCTGCACCAAGTTGTAGTCTTTGTTGTTAGTTGTTAACTGCATTATCTTGCTCCGTAATGTGGATCCGTGTTGCAGTAGAATAGTGTGTTTTGATTATTTATTTTCCCGTAATTCTTCTTCCAACATATTGTGGAACCGATATTCTTGGCGAAAGGAACATGTTATGATTTATACTAATTTGGTAATTTAGGGGGAGCTTTAATGATATTGCTTGGTTTCTCACAATATGTTTCGTCATTTGATCAAAGAAAAAAATCCTAAAAAACTGAGCTGCACATCAACTCAATAGGTAAATGCTGAAAAGGTTGCTGTATCCGGAAAGAAAAGGACCCAGAAGCTCTACCGGAGGCATTCAGGAAGACCAGGTGGAATGAAAGTGGAAACATTCAATCAGCTGCATCAGAGAATTCCTGAAATGATAATCGAGCATGCTGTTCGTGGTATGCTTCCTAAAGGAAGGGTGAGTTCATTGGTTTAGAACTCCAGACTGATATCTGCATCTGAGTTCAATATGAATCGATAAATAGATTTAAAATCAAGACCGACAAAAAACTTATCCTGAACTTTCTATGTGCACACGTTGCGAAGCTAGTAACTAGTTTAAGTAATAATATAATAGTTTTACTGGGGTGGCTTCGTGACATCTGCTTATGCACACTATGAGTGAGAATGATAAGTTGAACATAGTGGTTGTCTCTACAAATAAGAATTTACTTGCTAATGAGGAGAAACTGGAATGTGCAAATTCTGAAAGAAAATGAAGGGTAGGAAGTTCGAAGTGCCAATCATTGGAATTTAATTCGCGTATACAGTCCTCATAATTCTTAATGTATTCCAATTTGTAAGGCTTATGAAACAAGTCATCAATCATCCATGATAATGTCAGCTCATGCATTCAATCCATTAGTGTCATTCGAAAATGGCATGCATGATTCTTATTGATTATGGTTAAGGTCTACAGTAATCTTCATCTTCTTTTTTTCCAGCTTGGTAGAGCATTGTTTAACCACTTGAAGGTGTGCAAGGGTCCGGATCATCCGCATGAGGCTCAGAAGCCTGTTGAGCTGCCTATACAGGACAAGAGGGTGCAGAAGCAGCGATAAGCAAATTTAAAGCATCGTCCAGATTGAGGGAAAAGTTGAGAGCGAGAAAGAGAGATCAACATCGCTTTCTTTCCACACTGTTTTACATTTTTCCCCCCTGTTAGCAAAGTCAAAGATGGGGGGCGATGGGGAGCGTTAATAATCAATAATAGGGGTGCCGAATTCGGTGGATTAGTCACAGAATTTGGTGCATTTAATTTTTATTTGGGTTAATTACACTTTTAGTCATTGCACTTTAGGATATTTTCAAATATTAACCCTTTAGCTTCAACTATAAATACCCTAACCTATTTAGCTTCAAAATCATCCTAAAATCTTTCAGTTCTCTCTCAAGTGTGTTTTGTAAACACCTGTAATTTTTTCTCTTTAATAAAAGATCTGCAGCAGTCCGGAGACGTAAGCACAACTGTCTGAACTCCGTTATCAATTTTTCGGGTATTATTTTTTCCGCTTTTATTTCGTATTCTCACAAATCTGATTATAGGAAAATTACTTGTTACTCGTTTATTTCCCAACACCCCATGTTTTTTGTCCTTGGGGGTATAACTTTCATTCTTCAGCCCTTATTATGATACAACATGCTGCATGCTGCGCTTGTAGTTTATATCAAATGAACCTTGTTTTAACTGTGAAAGTAAATGCGACTTATGGGAATTTCTAATTTCTTCATCTTGGATTATTGTTTTTATTTTTAAATTTGATGTTAACAAATGAATGGTTTTCAAAGAGTAAGATTGTAAAGAAGCTCGTTCCATGTATCTGGAACTCCCGCTAGACACCAATGGCTGCAATCCAAGCCAGTGGATCCACTAAGCCCATAAATAGAAGGATGACCATCTTTGCGCAGCATTGACAACAATGTCACATCAAGCAACTTCGCTGGTTTTTTCATTTTGCTTATTACTCTCTTTACTACATCCACCGCTGGTGGTAAACCTCCGGGATATGTTGTGCCGAGCAATGGCTGCTTTTGCCCTACGCAGCTCTTTGCTTTTGGTTCACCCCATAAAGTCCCACTGCCATTACCAAATTCACAGCCCTTCGTTACTCCACTTAAATAAAATAACAAAAGAATTGTAATGAAGGGTTTGTTAAAAAAAAAGCTTACTTGTAATGAGAGGGAGAAATTCCCTGGAAAAAGACTTGAGATCTTGAAGGATCAACGTTGGCATCCACCCATTCGGCCCATGTGTTGAGAGCTATTTCAAAAGCTTGCATTCGATCCATGTCTTTTTTAATTGCACCCCGATATTCGATAAAATCCCATCTGAAAGATGATAGATCAAATGAATTATAAATGTCGAAATTCAAACCTCGAATGCAACAACTTACGGTTGAGTAGGACCACGACGATTCCACCAATGCCAAGTGTTGAAGATGAGCATGTCAATTCCTGTCCATAGCTTCCCTGATTGGATGGAATCAAGCTTTAAAACCCTTCCAATCTTTTCCATCACAACATCTACCAGATATTCATTTCGATCCAGCATTACTTTTACATCAAAATCCTGCAATAATTTCCAGATCTCAAGCTGTTATTATCTACAACCTTATTATAGAAAATAATATTAATTGTGAGAGTTGTATGTCACATTTATTATTTCTATATTTATTGAAAGGCATTGAATAAATATTAGCTTAAAATGGAGTAAAAGTACCCACCGGAAAAAGGAAGGTGGTGACATCGTTAAGTCTGGTAATGTTGTATCGGGCAGTCGGAAGAGCAGAGTGGAGCATGCATGTCAATGATTGCCACTGATTTAGGCTTAGAGAGTCTCCTACAAACATTATGCTCTTCCCTCTAAACTTTTGTAGAAACTTCAATCCATCAAATCTAAAACAAAGAATTTAACAAATTTATTAAGAAAATGTAAATATTTATATATTTTACAAATAATATTACTTGAATTTGAATATTTATAAATTGAAATGATCGTTGGAAAGAAAGCATGAAGGACGGGTATTTTTACTGTGCGGTACCTAAAAACGACTAAAAAACGACGTGATCGGTTAAAGAAGTGATCGGTTAAAATTTAGATCGGTTATGTTATATCATTTAACCGGAAATATTATCAAGCACAATAACATTTTATGTAGTGCTTATATAATGTAATAGGTAGCACTTATATAATAAAATAGGCATTTAACCGGAAATATTATTAAGTACAATAACATATTAGGTAGCGTTTATATTGATCTATTTTCTCATAAAACCGGTAAATTTCAATCGGTTACATTGTAAATTGACCTATTACATTGGTTTCGATGTTTTTGGGATCGATACAATTTTAAATGTATCGACACTTTATATGTGCACCTGTTTGTGCTTTCATTTTGGAAAAAAGTATTGACACATATTTAAAGAGTGTCGATACATAATGTAGACATATTTGCTAATTAACCGGTATATTTTTACCGGTTACATTGTAACCTGTTAATAATTATCGGTTTCATTGTATTGGGATCGATACTTTTTATAAATGTATCGACAGTTTATGCGTACACTTCGTCTGGACAAGTGTATCGACACAAATTTAAAAATTGTATATACTTTATTTTGACCTATTTTCTCATATTTTTAGTTGTTATATTGTTATCGATCGATACATTTTCATAAAGTGTCGACACTTTTTAGGCGCTATAACTTATTCTCTTTTAAATTCAGAAATTGTCAATACTTATATTAAATTATCGACACTTTCAACATATCTAGTAGCATTTTACCGGTTTGTCATTTTGAGACCGGTTTTGTCATATTTTTACCTGTAATATTATTATGGATCAATATTTTTTTTAAAGTATCGACACTTTATAGACACTATAACTTCTTCCCTTTTAAATTTCAAAAGTGTCGATATTTATATTAAAATATCGACACTTTCAATATATCCGGTAGTTATTTACCTGTTTTGTCATTTTGAAACCGATTTTGTCATATTTTTAGTTGTTATATTGTTATAGATCGATACATTTTCATAAAGTGTCGACACTTTTTAGTCGCTATAACTTCTTCTCTTTTAAATTCAGAAAGTGTCGATACTTATATTAAATTATCGACACTTTCAACATATTCGGTAGCATTTTACCGATTTTGTCATTTTGAGACCGGTATTGTCATATTTTTACCTGTAATATTGTTATGAAGCGATATATTTTTCATTTGTATCGACACAAATCGAGAAGCTAAGTTTGTCGGTTGCCAAATTTTTTTAATATTTCTTCATGAGTTAGACCTACTATATTATTATTACTCAACATTTTCGGTAACGCTAAACCGAAATTTTTAAATATATTATAATGTATATGATAACGTCGTATATTAACCGTATATTAATCCGCCTTTCCAGAGACAATCCCATCAAGGACAGAAGAGGAAATATAGAAAAGTTATCCCACCGCCGATCCCGTGAAATTGACAGTACGAAAAAAAAACACTTCCATTTACACGTGCTAGAGAATATATGTCGATTATACACATCAATATTTTAATATAATTTTTATTTGAGAAAATAACCTCAGTGACCAAAAATCTTAGATAATATACGATTTTGACCAATTTTTTTTTGGATTTTCGAAAATGACCAACAAAATCGCAATGCGATCTCTAATTCGCATTGCGATCTCCACTATCGCAAATTCGCGTTGCATTTCGCGTTGCGATAGCCTACAGTTGTCGTTGCGATTTTCCAAATTCGTTGCGATAGTCTACAGTTGTTGTTGCGATAGTCTACAGATGTCGTTGCGATTTTGCAAATTCGCATTGCGATCTCCACTATCGCAAATTCGCGTTGCATTTCGCGTTGCGATAGTTGAAAATCGCGTTGCGATTTTCCATTTCGTTGCGCATTTCGCGTTGCGATAGTTGAAAATCGCGTTACGATAGTTGAAAATCGCATTGCGATTTTCCATTTCGTTGCTTTCGTTGCGATAGTCTACAGTTGTCGTTGCGTTTTCCAAATTCGTTGCGAAAATTCGTTGTGATAGTTAAAAAAAAGATTGTATTTCTTAAGAATTTTCTCTAAAACGATAGTATCCGCGTGGACGTGTCGAAGACACGTATTACCACGACCACGACCAGAGACGAGACGGCGGCGGCGGCGCGCGAGAGTCCCCCTTGTTCTCTATCACTCAACAAGGAAGTGGGAAAGCCAAGCCTTAAATATCATTCCCAATAGTGTTTCCAATACTATGTGGGATTGAGCATTACCAACACTTGTTTCCAATACAATGTGATTATTCAGGAAACAATTAACAATCATGCACCTTAAAACAACTGAATCAGCAACCAATTGCATTAGTATTATACGATTAAATGTCATAATTAAAAGTCAATCTACAATCAATCGCGATTATTGCAATTTTAAGCAAAACATTCAAAATTAATATCACTATTTAAGGCTCAATCCCACATAGTATTAGGAACAAGTGTTGGTAATGCTCAAATCCCACATAGTATTGGAAATACTATTGTGAATGGTATTTAAGGCTTGGCTTTCCCACTTCCTTGTTGAGTGATAGAGAACAAAGGGGATTCTCGCGCGCCGCCGCCGTCTGTCTCGTCTCGGGTCGGGTCGTGGTCGTGGTAATACGTGTCTTCGACACGTCCACGCGGATGCTATCTTTTTAGAGAAAATTCTTAAGAAACAAAATCTTTTTTTAACTATCGCAACGAATTTGGAAAATCGCAACGAATTTGGAAAATCGCAACGAATTTGGAAAATCGCAACGACAACTGTAGACTACCGCAGCGCGAAATGGAAAATCGCAATTACAACTGTAGACTATCGCAACGCGAAATGGAAAATCACAACGCGATTTTCAACTATCGCAACGCGAAATGCAATGCGATTTTGTTGGTCATTTTCGTAAATCCAAAAAAAGTTGGTCAAAATCGTATATTATCTGAGATTTTTGGTCACTGAGGTTATTTTCTCTTTTTATTTTCCCGGTATAAGAACACGAGATGTATCCACGCGCCGTAGAAGTTAGATTAGATCACATGATGTCCGAAATTGAAACTCAATAGAACCGAGTACAATTA